TTTTAATGAACTTTTTTTTTTTTTTTCTTACAAAAAAGGGGCCCTTAAGGGCTTCATTCATTATAGCAAAAAAGTAGAGGCCGGGAATTCCTCAACAAACAACCCGGAAACGTACCAAATACTGGGGGCACAGCCCAGCTCAGATATAGGCGTTGGGAGAATTAGTCTAGGGACAGAAATGGCCAAATCTGCGACCGCTGCCCTGACAGTCCACAACCGTTGAAACAAACAAACAAGCCACCAAGGCCAACAAAGCCACACAATACGAAAAACGAACCACCACTCAACCTACACGCCTGGAAAAGTACCAAGAACCGAGAACCTATCGGCCTATTATCTATTCGAATTTATCTACTTCCTACCAAAAACCAACAACCAAAGGGTATCAGCTCACCTAAAGCCGTGATAGAGAGCTCCTACCTTACAAGGTCTCTTAAACAGTGAACGCTCCTTCCTCACTCAGGGTCCCAGCTGCCGATCTACTGCGATCCTCACAGCAACCGAGCGTCCCGGATATCCTCAACAAACAACCCGGATATAGAGGAGTATCTTGGTACCTGAGGTGAAAGGAATTATGCCTAGGGACAGAAATGGCCAAAACGTAGACCGCGACCCTGCCTCCACCTGAAAGTCCGTTTAGCGTGAGTTCACGTCGTGCAACCTTATTCTCTCATTTAGCTCAGTCCGTGTGGCCGAACAAACAAAGCGACCCATTTTTTTTGCCCCCTTCCCCAGTCGCTGCCTTACCCACGAGACGCAAACAGTAGGTGGTGGCAAACGTATCTTGCCATGTTCTCTGTCAAGATGCGGACGTTTGGTGAGCACTGTGGAGAACCCCTTTCTTCCTACTACCTACTAGCTAAGTTCCTAAGTGCTTGTTCACCGCTTCGGTCTTCCTCTCAACGTCTATTCCAGGGGCAAGGTACCAAATTATTGCCCGATTCTTTTTCTTTTCTCCAGCCAAACACCAAGCGATCAAAACCCTGCACAATACATTTCTCGGCCTTTTTGGCTAAGTAAGATCAAGTGTAGTATCTGTTCTGGTCAGTTTCACATCTGATCCGTGCTCCATCGGGCCACAATATATTTTATTCAAAATTCAACAAAAAAAAACCTGGACGAGGCCGGGGGCCAAGTCCCACTAAGCAGCGTTGAGCTACCTCAACGCCCGAATCTGGATGCTTTTGCGGAGATGTGTAGAAATGGTCATGAGTTTCCTCAACTGCACTTCTCCACAAAACACGTCCGGATTCAGGCGTTGAGGTAGTTAGCTCAACGCTGCTAGTGGGACTTCACCACGGTACACTGCACGAATGGTGCTTTCATACACCTTGACGACGGGTGCAGATGGAGGCTGCAGGGTGGACGGCGGGTAGCCCCCTCGTGACCCTCTTGCAAAAGGGTAGTCCAGTCCTCCTATTTGAACGCTGGCGGCGCTGTGGCCGCCGCTGCCATATTGTTTGGAGATTGCCGGCCTAGGGCACAGCGGCTTTACAAAAGTGCTGGCGGTTCTGGGGTAAAAAAATCTAAGGTTGTCCTGAAAAAAAAAACAGTGGCTTTACAAAAATTGTAAGCCTTAGGTTCTTCAGTTAAAATAGTGGCTTTGCGGATATGATTCCCCATACTGGTGGCTAAACCACAAGCACGCTGGGCAGCCTTTTTTTTTTTTTTTTTTTTTTCAGCGCAGCGTGCATGCAGCAAGAGGAGAAATGGCTGGTGGTGCCAGCCAAAAAAAGGAGGCCTGTACTGTTAATTTTGCCGCACAGGTTGTTCCCAGCCTTGTGCCCCCACACCCCTACAACCGTTATGAAAAAAGAGCATCGGAAGAAACGGTGGGTGGTTTCAGTAAAGGAGATGCCTTTCTCTTTACAGATACAGCTATAATAACCGGGCGATGGTTCTATTCGGGTGAAGACGGTAGTGATTGTCGCCTCAAAAAGTTTACGCCTTTCAAACTTAAGTCGTTAGCAATTTTTTTGCTTCAAAAGATTAAAAATCACTATCACCGCCAGGCCAGGCAGAGTTAGTTATATTTTCAAAAAGGGGAAAAAAAAAAAAAAAAAGCCCTCGTCACCTTCAGAACCCCAAGGCATACGCAGAACATTCTCGCGTGCGCGCTCTACACCTGACCAGGGAGATTGCCTACCCTAAGGATTGGTTGTGAAGGAAGCACAAATCCAGATGATGGACTGAAAAGGCCCTCTTTTTGTGTTCGGGAGGAGTCTCCGAGTCGGAGGACAACGCAAAAGAGTATGGGATCCATTGCGAGGGGGCAGAGTAATGCATGGCACACTCTCATCAGGTCTGGAAATCTGATGTCATCATGTTGTCATGTCCTCAAATGCCAACACGTACTCTCGCTGGGTCTGGAAATCTAATGCCATCATAATGCCACGTCCTAAAATGCCACCATACTACTCTACCCTTGTGCGCTAGTGGGAATTGTGGGCCTGTTAGCCCCAAAAGACTTTCCTTTTGCCCTCCCTCCCAAGCAGTGACGGAGTATTTCATTCCATCATATGACATTATTTCCTTTCAAGCCCACTTGCCTATCTCGTCCTCACCACGGCCCAATGCATGCTAAACCTTTCTATATCTATTAGTTCAAAACTTCCAATGTTAACTAATCTCATAGTAAAGGCTTCACCTTTACTTCACATCATTTCAGCTCAGGACCTCGGCCGATCAACGAGGACCCAAATCCTCAGAGTCGTCGCTC